ACACACACACACACACATATACTTTTCCTCTTTTTCTCATTTTTGTACATGTATAGGAGAAAGAAATAAAAAGAAAGAGAGAGAGAGAAAGAGAACGTACGCACGCGTTCGTCAACGGGCCTAGACCATAGGGACTTTTACGAATTTCTTTTCGGTGTTTTACCGGCTGCACTTGTTCAAATATTTCTCGGTTATATCGAAAGTATAGAAAATTTACCTTTTATTTATATATATATATATATGTTATTGTGAAAGATCGAAATTGGAGAATGTTAAGATTTAGGTAGATGATTAAATGTTACTATATATCAAATATTTAGGTTCATTCTTATACATTAATATTTTAGACATACATCAAGAGATCATGTGAATTTTGATGTTATCCAATTGAATTATTTGACTCTAACGAATATACATATTTAGGGTATAAAAAATATATATATGTATATGTGTGTGTTTGTGTGTATTGTAAAATGTATGACCCTAAGGCAGTCAATTATGTTCCGGAAATCATTGCTACAATCTGTGCGACCCCGTGCGAGAGAGCACTTTCTCTCTCTCTCTCTCTCTTTCTATCCCTCTAGTAATCTTTTAACGCTTGTGTTAACCGTTAAACACCGAGGAACTTGGGTATTCTCGCCTTACAGATGATTTTCACGCTGCACGAGGTATTCCATTACTTCCAGATCTTCCGTTTCTCCCTTTTGTTCCTTCTCTGGCCCTCTGATAACAGCTAAAGCAGTCGCATTTCCTGACTCCTATCACGGGGGTTCGTCTTTTCCTTATTTCGCTTATGTTAGTGGAATCTGTTAAGAAAGTGAAAGACGGGAAGGTATAGTTTTATATCATTCTTTTTCATTCTTTATTTTTATCTATATTTTCTTTCTCATTTATTTTTACATTTCATTTTTTGTTCTATTTCTCTCTCTTTCTTTCTTTTTTTTTCTTTTGTTCAACTAGTAAAATTCCACAGAGGTTTCAGGGAGTAATAACAGGCAAGTACCGTGTACGGATTGTTAGGAAGATGAAGAAGGAACATATCCATTTCTCATCTTTTTGTCGTAAGTTGACCTCGAAATTTCTCAATTATCCTTCCATCCGTCCAATCGGCTTTTTTTCCCTCTTTCCCACTTTCCCTCCCTTTCTCATTATTATTATTGTTTTATTCTTAATAATTTGGACATATTATTATTATTATTATTATTATTATATATCATTTTTCATATATATCTATTTTCCTTTCGTTTCGTCAATTAATTATTTTTCTTTCGTTTGATAATACTTTTTAACATATTTCGTTTATTTCATTAGGACGCGAATGAGAAATAAATAAATAAATAATATTACAAAATTTCAATCCCCGTGCATTAAAGTTATATAAAATGTAACTCACGGAATGATGGGAACTTTTCTATCGATTATTCGTAAAAGCAAGCAAGCAAGCAGTCTCTGTCTTTTAACCGGGTGATGCGTAAATCGACCACTCCCCGTCTTCGATTTCCTGCACGGGAATAACGTTGGAAATTGAACATCGATCGGTCATCCCGTGGAAATACATTCGCCGACATAAACCTACAACTCGAACGCAAGGGTTTATCCAAGATATTTCCCATAGATACTTTTATTCTCTCTCATTTCATTTATTTTCTCTTATTATTATTCTTATTATAAATGATCAAACATAATAGAATGTATTTCGAAAAAAAAAAAAAAATTTGAAATTATAATAG